TTTGCGCTACTTCTTTATTTCTGCTTTGTGCACAGCCAAAATTTGAAATTGATCATGATTAAATTTGAAAGTTTATTTTCCGTCTTCATATTTAAGTAAAAAGGAGTTTTTCCATTTTGCGGTACATGGTATTTGCATCGCAGACTGGCAATTATTTCTACTTAACTATACACTCAGAGCAGACAAATCGTTTATTTTTATATGAAATGACATTATCTAAGCATATATTGTCATAAAAATTGTATTGTTGTCAAGGCTACCAAAACTGCGCTACAACTAGCGATACCATGATAACATTTATAGTTTTTCCTTTCTCTATTACAATTTTGGCTGATTTTCACTGTTTTGTTCGACTTTTATGGCAGACATAGGCTAATAGTGAAAATATTAGCTGTCCTTAGTGTCGTCAATATTATGTATATGATGTAGATTGTTATAACACATAACAATATGTTAATATCACCTTCTACAGTTAGATATATAAGCTACCAAATCATCATATTGCAGGAAATAAATCATAATCATGCGAGAGAGGTACAATTATGTGGAGATTTTACCAGAGAGTAAGCTAAGATTGCTTTATAAAGCTAATTAGCTCATAGGTAGTATATTACCTCTTGAACAGAGTTCCAATGTTCAGGCTGCTAGTATTCTTGCAAAGATAGCTAATAGCAGAAATAAGTACTATTATAAAACGAAAGCATCGGAAAGTACGATTGGGTAATCAAGATATCTTGATCTCAGGTGACCAGATTGTGTGATCACACAATACGATCTCGAGATCGTATATTATGATCTTCGAAAATCACCGAAAGCCTGCCTAGCTTATATGCTGATGCCGTAAATGACAATTACTTATACCTTACGTGAGACTAAAATAAAATAGGCACTAATAATTACAGATTACACAGGACGATTCAAAGTAAGTTCACATAGCAGTCTTATATAATATATATATATATATATATATATATATATATATATATATAAAGCAAATAAGCGTGATGTGCCAAACGCACTCTCGATTTGTAATTGGATACCGGTTTCTCTTTCTATATTAGTTTTGGGTAAACAATTATATTGTAATAGTTATTTCCTGTCTATCTTATTTCTAGTTGGCTTCGCAAGTGTTCACAGACCTAATCGGAACAATTCTTAAGAACTGGAGGCTATTCATTAATGGATCATTTTTGTTGGATTTAAACTTTAACAAACGTTCTCATTTATAACACATCAGTGTTTTAATTACGGCAATGCCTACATATCGTGACAAGTCGAAATTCGACCTAGTAGTATAGTAAATCATGTTCAAAGTTGCAGTGTTTGGTAAACAGTGCGTATAACTAATCGCGTGTGTGCTAAACTGGTAATTATTACACAAGAACGCGAAACAACATCCCTTTCTCACAGCCACATAAGACTGCACAGTACACTCTCCCTACTGTAACGCTATAAGAATGAGTTAATACCCATATAAAAAAATTTATGTAAAACTAAAAAGATTACAATATTAGAACTTCTTGTCATCAAGAAGCATAGCTATGGTCAGTGTTAACAATGAATTCTGACGATGTAGCTTCATCATTAGCACCGATTGAACTCATCACTTGCGCGCATATGTCTTCCGATGCTTCGAAGCATGAACGGATGAGTTTACTTGCCAAGGGTTCACTAAGAGCATGGATTGAGTGGTAGTTGTTGGTGAACTTCTCAAGCAGATCAACACTCCCGGTAGAGATTGACATGTTGTCCAGCGCACGAAGAACCAAGTCCATTATATATTTCCTTGTCCACCGGCTGCTATGTCGAAATAAGTTTACAATGCTTATAGAGACAAAAGAACACACACTTACCTCCACTTATTAGATCTTTAGAATGTGCATACAGAATATGCCCACAGGGCAGCATGTAGTCATTGAAACGCTCACAAGCACATCGTGCACGTGAAGTATCAACAACATACATCATACCCTTGTCGTAGCACCGGATGTATTCCCCTGCTATACATTCGTGTCTCATCGACCTAACACGTTTATAATTTACAACTACAATTTTAGCTGCAAAAGATAAGAACTCATTTAAAAGAGTTCGAAATAACATAGGAACCTGGAACTAATGAAACATTTAACTATATTTCTTACCTCAAGAATTGGAAAACGTTGAAGATCCTTCACAGCGTCATATGGACGCAAACGTAGGTCAGTATCTGTTTTGCTCCAAATTTTCCAGAACGTCAATGGCAGAGAATCACGTCTTCTAATACATTCTTTTAGATGTTTATGAGCACTTTCGACACGGTTGTTCGTGTGGTTGCTCAGGCTTAATACATGTCGCCGGTAACAGCGAGCCCACATTGACTTACGGGAAATCCAGTAATCTTTGATGTAATCGTACGCCCGTGGGAAATGGATCCTCAGATGTTCGTACTTTTGGGTAAATCTGAATATAATGCGTTATGAAAAACGAAGCTCACATGTCAGACCGTGTAGTCTTTACAAGGTATTCCAAGCATTTGCGTACATCAGGATTCCGGAACTACAGAAAATAATTTGTACAGTTAACACTTACCTTCCTGAAAAATGCTCGTTAGACATGGAATGAACAAAGTACTATGTCGGCATGACTGTGCGTAAACTGCACTGCTGAAGTTTCGGTTGCTGCCGAATCCATAACAAAAGTGCGTGTATCATAAGTACAGCACATTATATCTTTGAAGCATTCCAATAATTTTACGACATCTCGTCGTTCTTGCCTGCAAGGAGCATACATAACAGTGTGCCCTTGCCCAAGACTATCAGTCACCACTAGCTGGAACAGTGGAAAACTTTAAGATGAATTAATTGCTATTCGTTACTTACCCAACTTTGTTGGTCTGATAAGTCGAGTCAATACATACCACCTCTGGGAACGCGTGGTAAATAGATACCTGCTCCCTGCGACTGAAGCAAATCATAGATATGTTTCCATGTTCACTGAGTAATTTAACTTCAGTGTTTGCTTGAACGCGCTGTAAAATGTTATTGATATTTTTAGTGTCTAAGCCCAATTAATTACAATGTGAGTTCAACAACCTGGGTACAGCTGTGTACGCATTTTAGAGATATCATCCTTGGTAGGCTGTTTATGGAACTTTCAATAAACCAGATGCCGTAAACTACGAGTCGGCGTATTACTCAACAGAAACGTTCTTAAGTATAGACGTTCACTCGACGTCAACTTTTGTCTTGAAGGATCTACAGAAATAAATCCTTCTGTGCAAGGATGGTTGTGCACGGTCTTGATAGAGGTGACTTTCAGCTCACCATTTACTGCACGGACCCAAAATCCAGATTGACAATGGCAACATTTAGACCTGAAGGATAAATTAATTTGAATCAAAGCACACGTAGATGACCGACGTCGTCTTCTTTGTCTAGGTTGTGGGGGTGAGTTAGAAGTTGTGTGCTCTTCGGAAGAATGATGATCACTATCATCACCTACATCCTGAACGCAAGCATCTGACTCTGACGAACTGCGTTTACGTCCATATGTACAAACATATCTCACGGAAAAATACTTTAGATTTGGGTCATCATTGTTTTTTTACATACTGACATAACGTACCTAGCATGCGTATATTACAAGAATAATCATTACCCACAGAAGTCATATTACCTTATGTACTTCTTTCAAACAGGTCTCAAAATTGTCCCAACTTGTAAATCTCCGAGATAACATGATATCATTGAAGATTCGTCCTATATCATGCATTATTACGATGGCATCATCTTCGTTACTTGAAGGATGAACGTTATCAGACATGGTGTGGTTGAACTCAATTCAAATCTAAAAATGTCTTGATTTGACCGCCTCTGAAAAACTTCACGAGTTGTCGATGTGACGCACCAATCATGTTGAAACAGTTTGACCTTCAAGTGCTCGCAACCTCTATCAGTGGACGATACCCCTGAAGCGTTGCCACGTATGTTAGCAGGGAACTTTGTACATAACTTGATAATTGAGCTGCTATAACAAACAAAACGGCCAGACAATAATTTTTGGACGAATCAATCAGGTATAAAATAACAGATCTCCGATTTTGGTGCGAGTCTTTCACAAATTGGTCTAAATAAATTTCTAGCATTACAGCTGATGTCAGTTCGTGATGAAAACCTCATATATAATACCTAACTAAGGCAATATACAACAATTATCGCGAACTGGATAATAAAACCATCAATAACTCTGGCTAAAGCAGGGTACTACAATATATACGGGTGATTGAAGAGTGTACAGACTCCTACATAGGCTTAATTGTGTGCATTTTGTGTACTTAACAACCGGAGTGCACCTAAACAATATTGAAAGTATGTGTTCGAGGTTGAAAAAGTTTTTGAAACTTTATCATGGTTCCAGAGGCCGACTATTCTGTTGCCGTATGGATGATTTCCTTTGCTGTATGCATTACTATTTTAGAACCTCTGAATCTCTTTCTAAACTTGACAATTTTTTGAACCACGTATAAGAAGTGTATCCACTTTATTTCCTTGGTTCTGTATAATATATTTTTGCTCTGTACTTACTGTTTGCTGATTGGCTAATATTCTAAAGGTCAATTAAGATTCGTTGAAAGGTCGTCCATAAATTAGAGTCTCGCCGTTGAATCTTTTGCATTATCGCCACTGATAAATTGCCTCAACTCTTTTATTACCCACCTTGTTCGTCTTATCTCTTTGTGCTAATATGGTATGGCGAGTTTGATAAACGCACATTTGCGTTAGGATCTATGTCGGTTTTCACTAAAGGACTCTAGCTCACCTAATGTGTTTTCCCGTAGACGTGACTACATTGTTCTTGTGTTAAGTGTAAGAAGTGACTTTTTTGACATCATTATACAATGATGTCCCAATTTTTGGAAAAATTTAGGGAAGCCTCTATAAAAACGTTTTGGAAAATTTTGGGGAAATGGCACCAAAACCTAAAGATTTTCTCGAAATTTCCCTTTAACCTTGGTGAAGGTCATTCGACTTGGGAGGCTTCCTCAAAATTTTCTCAAATTCGGGAGATTGGGATCTGCTACTAAGATAGTAGTGTAGATGCACAGAGAATAGATGAACGGCTTTAAACAGCATTTAAAAGCGGCAAACTCTGCTAAGAAATATTCGAAACAAAAATTTTTTTTCCTATTTATCAACTTCCTAAAAAACTAGCTGTTTCATTTATCTGCTAAATATTTTTCTAGTTAATAAATAGTTGTTTGTAAAATTTAATGTTATAGTCGTTGGTCACGTGTTCGGATTTTTGAAATCTATTTCGGTCTAGATGTTTAGAATGTATCATTAAAGGGTATCTAACATATGCTTCTTATCGCCTTCGTTATCATTTGTTGATTAAATAAATAGTTACATTTAGCATCTAATATCTCAAAAGACCAAAATATGGTGTTTTCTGATTTAAATTTTGGCTAATTTCAAATACTAGGGTCCTGTTTACTTTGTATTACTGTCGATGTTCTGTTTTGTTATACATCTACTTTATATTTCACTAGATCCTTGATCATGGGTACTTTAGATCCATACCCCAGCTCATCATCTAGTAACTCAAAAAAGTGTATGAATAATCCTATGAGATTCTCAGTTAATAAGGATGTAATAAAAAAAGCTGAAAATCAAGATGTGAATTCAATTCAACGTATTGTCGCATATGATCATTTAGAATTTGAAACAAGTATGCTTATATTCTTGTTTTATTTTTCTATGAAGGTGTTATTGAGCAAGCTAAAAATTCTTTCAAGAGAAATAATAGTCTTCAGGTCAGTGCGACAAGGGAAAGACTTTCTACTTTAGACGATGATATAATGTATGTTAATATTGCTTATCTCTGATCTCACAGGTCTGCTCAACATGAACTGGAAAAAATGGAATTATCACTTGATACATTGCTCGGTCAGGTGTCTAATAGCAGTTTGGAAAACAGGAAAATACGTTCTTTAGAGTTAGAGATAGAAACAAAGGCAAGACTCACTCTCCGTAAATTGTTTATTGTTTTTTGTAGATGAAGCTTATTGACACTTTAATATCTAGGAAATCCGCTCTGTTGAGTAAACTGTCTTCTTTGGAGAAGGCCAACTTTATTTCAGATGACGTTCCAAGTGAGTATTTTATTCAAGTTTTTGTCATTGGAAAGTAATCGAACGCTCTTCGAGTAACTGCATCTTACACTACAAAATACGAATATACACCAAGACATGTGGTTAAAGCATGTTCATTATGATTATTTTGAATGTGTAGCTATGGTAATTTGTCTTTATTACGTGTGATTCCTTTCAATGAGGGAAAAACAACTTATTTTTGCGTTGAAGTATCCAAATCAGTTGTATTTTTTCTGCCTAGAATAGTATCTCTGACTTAAATTTGCCAATCATAGTAAATACATGGTGGTGTCTTGCATTTCAGAAGAGGAAATTCAGTGTTTTACACTCCGTACATAAAGACTACAAAAAGGACAGCGTGTATATTCGTATTCTTTAGGTTCCCCTCTATAAAACACTGAATAGACAACTATCTAGTAGAATTCTGCCAGAATGGCCCTTTTCGCTGTGAAATTCAATATCATACGGTCATAAAAGTTTACAGTGCAAATGAAAGATACTTGAAAGTTAGATTGTAAGGGTTCGCTATAATTACTAATAGTAGTCGAGTGAATAACTACACTTTGGTAATACATATTTCTTTTTGGTTGGATATTTAAATGTACTTGTAGATGAGACTATTTTTAACACCAATCTGTTTAAAGTGATACATTTCGCTACTACCAAACTGCAAGATTAGTTTTTGAAACCGGATTATTTTGTTGTTGTAGTTGTTGTATGGTTATTACGCGCTATTAATCTTCGTCATTTAGAGTTACTCGTTTTACTTTCGTCATTTAATACTAGAACCAGATGAAGATTCGCTAAGTGTGAATATCGTCAAACCACTGTCCGCAGATGACTTTAATTCTCCTATAAAACATCTCAGTACAAAGTTATATAAAGTAAAACGTGAAAACAATGCTGTAGAACTGAAAAAGCTGTCTAAATATAAACATAATGATGATGCTGATATAAATGCGTTTCAGGAACGATTGAGACGTCAAAGACGTGCTAAATTATTAGAAGAGCAATTAGCTAGAGAACATGAGGTTAGTAGTTTTTGTATACATTTTTAATGAGTACATTTTACCTCAAGATGTATTTATTATGTTACCAGACCATCAGTCAGTTATGTGAGTAATTACTAAATGGATGGTGAATGCTCGAAATTTTTTGTTCTTCGAGAAATTACTGTACAGTGGGAGAATCTCCCCCACGTAATGTCTACTAATGATTATTGCTCATATTTGAAATAGGGTAACTTTAATTCAAGAATGTTGAGCAGTTATATTTTACTGATAATCTGATGTAAAAGTCTTAACTAGAAGTGTTTTGTAGATCCTGAAATAGTAACTTATGTTCCTGTGACTAAGGTTTGTATTCTTTTGAAGGTAAAAAGCATTGTTTGATGATAGTCCTAAAATTCTATGTCTGCATTTTCTGATTATTATTATTATTTTTACTACTAATGTCATATTGATTATGAGTAACTGGTTTTGTAAGAAAACGTTAAAATATTTTCGTTTGTGTGATTTTATGTAATAAGTATCCATTCACTGTTTATGTACGATAACAAGTTGTCAATAGTATCTTAGTCGTATAAGTGGTCCCACGCTTTTTCTATATCTATTCATTCCTGTGTTGTATTTGAATTACGAATTTGTTATGATACTCAATTTGGAAGCTGTTATAGTTATTAACTCTTTAGCTTTCACATATTTCTATGCGGTTTAGTATAGCTTATTTCAATTTGAGTGGATTTGTTTAAACTTGTAGTACTGTCGTCTGTTCTTATTTATGTGAGTGTATTTCTCCCTTCAAATGATGATGCATACTTTGAACTATCGATAACTTATGTGAAGAGTTAGATAATAGATTACAATATTGGTCTCCTAACTGTTAGGTCTTGGGGCCAAGGCCCACCCCATCTATTTTGATTTAAGGAGCTAGGTCTTAATACACTATCTTCCACACAAACGGTGTGGTTTGAAGTCAAGTAAAAAACCCATATGTCTGGAACTGAATGTTTTTGTTGTTTACTTATAAAAATACCAATATTTCTGTTCTTTTTTCGTTGAATTAGTTGTCATTTTAACTAATGCATAACTTTAATAAGACTTACTATAATGTACGTCTTATTATTGTTCTCGAATTTCTTAAGAAAAAGATAAATTCATTTTAGGTACATTCTAGTAATCCTTCTGATGAAAAACTAGATGGTGGATTTTGTGTCCCGGGTTCTATTTGGTGTCGATTATTTGATTATCAACGGAAAGGTGTCAAATGGCTATGGGATCTTCATCAAAAAGGATATGGTGGTATTATTGGAGATGAGATGGGTCTGGGAAAAACCATACAGGTTAGCTTTTGAATTTAGTGTACAGATTATTTCTCATTGTCTGCTTTAGTGGTTTTGTCTGTTTATCTCTTTTGGTAGTTCCAGTTTTTATAAGTATTATTTAGTGACTAACAAGTTACGTATAGGTTCATTTAATAATGACTGAAATTTGTTTAATAGAAGTTAGATAGCACTATATTGATGTCGCTGAATTTAATTCCGTAGGTTTGAATCTGCTAACCAGCATTTAATATTCGATTAATTAGATTAAGAAATTAAAACTTTAGAATGTGCGCTATGGCTTCATTTATTGAGGATTTTTTTACTTACATACAAATTTTAAGGTATATATTAATCACTGGACACAATGCAATCCCATGTTCAAATCTTAATTGCGTCCATTAACAGCTATTAACAATATTTTATTGAATACTATCCATTTTGTTTGTTTAAGGGTCTGAATCACTATATAATCTGTTTTACTTTTGACATAAAATTCATTATGGGTTAATATGTGATTCTAGTGCAAAATGGTAATATTAGTAGAGCAGTATGATTTTTATCGACATTGATATCTACTTAATTTATAACGAAGTTGATATTTTATGCAGGGTAAACTTTAATTAAATTAATTTTGACTAATTTTCATTATTTTCAAGATTATTGCCTTACTAGCTGGATTGCATTATTCGAACATAGAAGATAAATCGTATCGTTTATATCTATCTACTCGTAATCTAACTTCTGAATGTCAGCAAGAGTAAGTGACTTCCTACTAGTCGATTTTCAGTGTATTCGTTCTTTTTTTTCACTAAACTATTCGATGATAGTATGTGTATTGAGCAAAAACAAATACTGTACATAAGCTGAGATTGATAATGGCTAGCAGTGGAATCTAGGACACGCGTTTCATTCTATTTTGATCTACTGGCAATATCGGGATAGTATACACAGGATGTACATATGCCGAAAGTAGACTGATCGCTTGCAATAAGTGGGAAGATTCAAACAACCAGTGCAAAAATGAATAGCTTTACATGTTAGTAGAACGACTGAAGCATAATATGGACTTTTTCTAACCATGAAATGTAAGACCATCATACTCTATGCTTAACACAAACTTGTGAAATGGTGTATACGAATATTCGTCAATATTAGAACGAATAGTTTGATACAAATTGGGTGCCGCGTATGTAAAAGACATTATATGTGAAAATTATGTTTGAAATAATCTCAGCGATTGAAATTTAAATAATTCCAACGTTTCGTCTAACAAACTTGTCTGGACTTCTTTAGGGTAACAATCATAATCAAAATTTTCAAAGATTATGATTATTATCCTGAAGAAGTCCGGACAAGTTTGTTAGATGAAACGTTAAAATTATTTAAATTTTAATCACTGAGATTATTCCAAATATAGTTTTCACATATGATGTCTTGTGAAATGGTGGTTTATTGGTTGAAACACTTTTCAATCAATAAATTAAAAGTTCAAACTGTGCCATAAATATTTCAGTTTATGCAAATGAATAGTATTATTAGCAGCTTCCTTACACAAAATGTATAAGTTAATGCTGATTATATAAAACAATATTTCATTACTGAGTTGAATTTATAAAATAATCATCCACATCTTTATATATGATTGTAAGTTTTATAGGTTCTATACAGATGTGTTCTATATGTATACAAGAAGAATATCGTGGTTAGAACATTTGAGTTTCTAATTAAATAAATGGTCGACTAGTTTTTTTCTCCAAATCTTTTATATTCGCTAAAAAAGATTCTTATCATATTAAAACGGAGTTATATGAATGGACAATATTTTTTTCAATAAATTCCCTTCATGTTCTACGACTATATACCCATTATTATTATTATTATTATTATTATTATTATTATTATTATTATTATTATTATTATTATTATTATTGATGGCTTTATTCAATATCATATTTTTGGTACAATACAGAATTCTCAGCACAAAGTATTTCGACAAGTTTCCTTTTTTTATTTCCTAAATGATCCTGACGATAAATATTGAGTGATAGCCAGTTAGACGTTAGCAGTTCAGGAATCGATATCTGATTAATGTTCATTCTTTTTATTGCATATTGCCAGCCACGACGATGTCTCTGATTGTACCTTCTTTTAGCTTGTACGGTGAAAGGTCGTAAACTTTTCATAAACGCGCCTGAATAGGTTATGCGATTAATAGACGGAAACAGAGAACGTGTTGAAATACGTAGATGACAGGAACATGTAGCCCAGATATTCAAGCAGGTAAAATAGTGGTAGGGTTTAAGGTAAAGTAGATCGTTTAAAATTGTACGATGTGAATTTGAGATTTTTTGTAAAATGAAGTAAATTTGTTAATGTTAAGAGCACGAATATGCAATGTCAACTTGAACCAGTTTGTGTGTTAAGCGAAATCGTAGGATTTATGATCTGTATAAATATGGGTAACATGGTGTGAGAGAGATAATGTGCATAATATAATATTAAACAATGTATTTGCCCTAAACTTGATCACTTTTTTGTGTTGTGAATTTGGGGATATATATACAGATATACATATGGTTGTAGAACTCGGAGAGAATCTTTTATGTGGTCAATTTTAATTTCACTGAGTACCTTTTCATAAAACACCGTCGATAATGTAAAATATCAGTTACGGTGAAGTGAGCATCTAAAAATGTAAACATTTATTTAAATAAAAGGTTTCTCTTTTCTACTTGAATCTATTTATTTATTTTAACACATAGGTATTGGTACAAGGAGGCACCAAATACATATGCGCCACACGAATCTCAATTGATTTGTGTGAGGGCTGTGATACTGCTCGGGTGCCCAAACCGAAGCAGGTGGTTTTCTTAGGGGGCCACACCCCGAGCTGTCGACCTGAACGTCTAACCCACAAGGCAGTGGAGCATCGTAAGGCGATGCAATCCCATGGTAGCCGGTGACCAACGATTGGTTCATACGCCATTTGTTCCTCAGGATACTGGAGCCCATGTGCACCATTGATTTGGGATCCGGTTATAGCGCCGGACATTCGCTTTTCGTCCTCTCATTTTAGTCAACAACAGCTACGCCATGAGAAGGCAGTGAGTAGGACTTCCCTGGCAGAGGCTGTGTACGCGTGGCCATGTGAGAGTATTTTGAGAGGGAGAGCGGATTCTACCCACTCTCGGCCGTACCAGGGCCGAGAGTATCTTCGATACATCGGTTGCGCGTGACATTTTCTAGTATTTTGTAGGAAAAAGAATTGAATATGGTTTTCCAGTCAAATTACATTATTCTCCTTGGAATGTAATGCTCTTATTGATTGTGTTGTTACCGGAAAATTCCTAAACCTCATAATTCTTGTCTTACTGTTTATGGACTTTAGGTAATATTGTATCTCCATTGGTAACATAGTTTACTTATATCAACTGTATAGATCACAGTACTTAATTTTCTCGACGAAAATCTGTTTTCATGTTATTGTATATGGACTTACCAATATGATAGTAAGCAATGTGAATTTTAGAAATATTATCGTGAGCTTTTAATTTCTTTCAGACTTATCATGTACATGAGTGTACTCAGTGTGGAGTATTTCTTGCCTACTATAACAATATTTATATAACCTTATTTCTGGCTCAGTCTTTACTAAATTTGTTTTTCACCTATGGATCACTGTAGGTGTATCTGAAGAACAGAAGTTAATTGGTATAATCATTGCGACACTAACAATTCAGCAATCACAGGTTATATTTTTATACATATCATTCTGTAACATAAAAGAATCGAATCATGAAATGGCATACTTTGATGTTTAATTCAAATTTTTCAATGACATATTTCATTATTTATTACAAATGATCTTCAGTAAGAAAACAACGATGATTTGAAAACGTTCTAAATAATGCCATTTTCTTTTTTGACTCACAAGAAATTGTACACTGTTCTTGCATATCATCAACTCATTTATTAAGCATTAGGTTCATGCAATCGTTTTCGAGCCAGACGTTAGTTGTGTAAGGGTTGGTAATGTTAATCCACTACCCATACTGATGTAAATGTTTCACGATTCTAAATAATTACATATTTATTACAAGTTAAGTGCTTTACTCAGTAATCCATCGTCAGTTCACTGTTAGCTTATAAGCTCTCAATAGAGGTATGAAAAACAGTGACTGAATTCCACTTAGATATCATTTTGTTAAGATGTGTAGTACACCTCACTTATAATGTCAATTTAATTCACCGACAAAAGAAAACTTTTTGGTAATTCAAAAATAGAACAGTTGTAAGTAGTTAATATTATCCACCGTCCTATTGACAAAATAAGAGGTTTCATCGTGTTAATTGAAAATGAAGACATATTGTCTCCACATCATTATCCAAATAAGTATATGGTGAGTTAGTAGGACATTTAATATTGTGATTTAATGATGTAAAATAAATAAGTAAGAATATTATAAAATAAATATATTAGTCTTTATTGTACAATAATTATAAGTTAGATATTTTTTACAGGGTATTTTAATCGGGTTGCTTTTTTCATCCTTTACCATAATATAAAGATTTTTAGGATTAGGTCCGACTTTAATTGTTTGTCCAGCTACACTGTTAAATCAGTGGATGTCAGAATTCCATTCATGGTGGCCTCCTATTCGTGTAGCTATATTGCATTCGACTGGATCCTGCTATGGAAAACCAGTAAGTGAACTTCATGTCATTTGTATGTGGTAATACCTCAAAATAAAAGTATCTTCAATTTATATACTGCCTTATACACTTTTATATATTTTACACTGCACTCGCTTTTAGCTTAAAGTTTAAAGTACTGAAACCCTACATATTGAAGGAACGTTATTTTTTATGGTTTCAATTTCTTAGCCTTATGGTTGTGCTTGAATTCGTAACTGGGAGTCGATTCAAAATAATTAAGTCATGCTAGAGAGTTGTGTTTAAATCACTAAGTGATAAAAAATAATTTGAAAAGCCATGGAACGAGAAATATTACTCGATAACAGATGTGATTATCTAATTACATCACATAATACGAAGTATCGAAAGATAAAGTGAAATAAACGAAGAATTGTTCAAAAATGTGTTTATTAAAACTACAGTTGTGGAAAAGTAAAGTGGTCTCTGTAGGGTATTCATGCTTAAATATAGATAACCGACACTTTAAAAATACAAAGGTATAATGAGCGGTTTAACGTGATTTCAAAATATTTGAATGGATATTTTGAATGGTATTAAATTCTCTGAGATAGGGATGGTGAAGAATAGCTATATATAATAGTTTTCAAAGTACATTGGTTAACATAACATTATGTATGTTTATTGTACATAACATCACAAAAAATAAAAAAAAAGAACTTGTAAAGTTACCACTATATTTATGTCTTAATTCGAGTGAATAACTCTTGTGCTTTCTTAACAATCAAGTTGTAAAACAGTAGCTTAATGGGTAAAGGACTCAACTTTTAATCACTTGGCAGGTTCAAATCTTGCAACATTCCGATTGTATTACTAATCTTCACACAACAAAGTTGTGGCTCACGGTGGATTCCATGAACTTGTGTTTTTGTATGAATGATTTGTCATATTCAAATGACTATTTTAAAGCTATGTTTATTAATCTGAATTTATGTTCTCGTTTATACTTTTATTTTAGAATAAACTTATACAAATGATAAATAATAATCCAGGAAGTGTTCTTTTAACTACATATTCAACTTTAGTGACTTATCGTGATATGCTAACATCTCGGAATTGGTCGTATGTTATACTGGATGAAGGGCATAAAATAAAAAATCCAGAAGCTGAGGCTACATTAGCTGTTAAACATGTAAGTATATTGTTCTTACACCCTCCAAAAAACATATTAATGCCCATAAATTTTTATAGTTTTTCACTCCTCATCGTTTGATTCTTTCTGGTAGTCCAATTCAAAATAATCTACGTGAATTATGGTCACTTTTTGATTTTGTGTGTCCTGGACGATTAGGACCTTTGCCAGAATTTATGCAACAATTTTCTATACCAATTACTCAAGGAGGTTATGCTTCCGCTTCACCGCTTCAGGTAAGTATCCTATGTTAATTGAGTTTATTGTTCCTGATAACTGGATTATTTGATATAAAATTTCAACAGTTACTGAAATGCATTCGTTTTATTCAAACTAAGTGCTTAATAATCTGTTTTATAATATATTTAGTTTTCCTTTATAGGTCTGAGGTAACCGCACGTCTCATTAAACTATTTCATCAATGTACACAATATCCTTTTCAACGCTTTATTTTGATGTTATTTCTTGTTTAATTTGTAAAGGTTGAAACAGCTTATCAATGTGCATGTACTTTACGAGATCTTTTAAAACCATATCTCATTCGAAGACTTAAAGCTGATGTTCAAATTCAACTGCCAGCTAAATCGGAACAAGTAAGTTCTAAATATTGCCATATTGGATATTGACTAGTCACTTTTTTTCCCAATTTGTTACACCGATACATACAAGTTCACATTTAATAACCTAAGTTTTTTTCATTCCCGGGAATTAGTTATGATATGAAAATTATGGTCACGGGACTTTCCACTTCTGAAAGGTATAGAGTTTGTGAAGAAAGAATTTAGAATAAGCAGAGATCAATAATGGCTAGCAATGTAATCCAGGATGCGCGTTTCATTCTTTTTAGGACTAGTCATCTTTATATACCTGCATCTCAAAGTTGATGTTCACTTCAACCCAGTACCTTCTGATTCAAACGCCGTCATGTTATCCACTTAGCTATTGAATTCAGATAGCCCCTGGCTTTTGCAGTGGAGTGAATTTTAATTCATATATATATATATATATATATATATATATATATATATATATATATATATATATATTGGTTGTTTAGACTTTCCGATTGATGTTCAGGACTCATATCGATCAGTTTATTTTTGGTATATGTTCATAATCTTAAAACAAGTTTTTAACTTTTGTTCAGTTATTTACGCGAAGATGGGTTATTGATAGTAGGACTAATCACTGTGTGAGTAATGGTGGTGTGGATCTGTTGCCTGGAGAAAGACTTCTCGACCTTGAGTATGCGGATGATATTGTCTTACTGTGCGAGAATGCCCAAGCTATGCAATCCGCACTTAATCAGTTGGCAATCAGTGTCCGTAGGTATGGTATGTGCTTTGCACCTTCGAAGTGCAAAGTTCTTCTACAAGACTGGCAGGATTCTAATCCTGTACTCACTCTGGATGGTGAGCAGATTGAAGTAGTCGAGAAGTTCGTGTATCTAGGTAGCTGCATAAGTGCTGGTGGTGGTGTGAGTGATGAGATCAATACACGTATAGTGAAAGCCAGAGCGCCTTCGTGATGTTAGTCTGGCTGTAAAAGGTCGGATCTACAACGCGACGGTGAGAGCAGTTTTGCTCTATGCTTGTGAAACCTGGCCTCTCCGAGTTGAGGATGTTAGACGACTCTCTGTGTTCGATCATCGCTGTCTGCGAAGGATTGCTGGCATCCAGTGGCAACACCATGTCAGTAATGCAGAGGTTCGACATCGAGTGTTCGGTCACAGAGACGATAATGAAATTGGTGTCACCATCTTGAAACACCTACTTCGGTGGCTTGGACATGTTCTACGAATGTCGTCCCAGAGAATTCCAGGTCGTGCATTATTTGCCGACTCTGGGACTGGTTGGAAAAAGCGGAGAGGTGGTCAGTATATGACATGGTGTCGTGGTATGAAAGAAAGCTGCAAAGGGCTAGCTTCTGTTGGTCCTTCACGACTCCCTGGTTGGGGTCCGAGAGACGGTGTAACGCAGTGGCTAGAGACGTTATCAGATATGGCTCAAAATAGAAGCCAGTGGCGATCCTGCTGTAACCTCTTACTTTCTTCATAAAAAGTGTTTGTATCTTCCTTAACTGAAAGATTTCTTCTGATTGTACCTTTCCGTTTCCCCCACCATTGTTCTCTCTCTCTTTTTTTTTATAATTGCCCACGTTCATTACTTTATTTTTTTTCTCCTTTCTCCTTCTCTTCAAATTATCATTGTTTTGTGTGGCGCATATATATTTGGTGCCCCCCTGTACCAATATTTATGTGTTCAAATAAAATAAAATAAAAATAAAAGGACTAATCACTCCAATTTCAACCAGCAACCTACTAGTTAATATCAAATCTGTTCCGCTTAACAAGATTCAAATTTTATGGTATTGTTGTAAATATACAGGATTCCATTTATGTAGCCTCTGTTATCATATGTATGTCCTAAATTCCACTACTGACCGCATACTTAAATCAGTTTTAAATTTTCCCACAACTTTTTTCACTCAGTCAATCATTTTTTTCTGTTCAGGTTTTATTTTGCCGACTAACTGATTATCAACGAAAACTTTATCGAGAATACTTAGAGTCTCAAGTATGTAAAGATTTACTAAATGGAAAAGGCAATGTAAGCTACTAACTTTAGTATTGCTATCTGTAATCATTATATTTAAAAAAATTATGTCGATTTATTAATTTCGTTGTATTGTTTTGGATTTTTTTTTACATATATTCTGTTTTTTGTTGTTGGCTCGGCTTTTTCTGGTGCTGGTTTTTTAATGTTTAAAAACTTGGATATTTACTGTATTATAGCAGTTTCTGCGTTATTCAAAAGCAGGTTATCGGTACTCATATACTACTTTCCAACAAATAGGATGTTATCTTTTAAGGAATGCCGATAGGGTGGCTATTTGAAATTAAAATAAATTAGTCGATTACATTGTAGACTTAGTATCTACTGAGATGGATAATGTGCTTGTTAAACATGTTTATCGATCACCAACACTGACGTGTACTATGATTTGAAGTGGAAGTAGATTGGAAAAAAGACTTTAGAGGATTAGATTAAAATATATTTGATGTATTAGGTTACTGACCGATTAGTTTAACGAAAGAGAAAGCAGTCATTCGGATACTTTTAATTATGTGATTGGAAACCCTTAGATGTGTTGGTAGATTCAGACTACTTGATTGGGGTCTACGCGACTATCGTGACCATTGGTTGGAGACTCTGGGTGACATGGCCCAGAATCGATCACAATGGCATAGGTGTATACACCTTAAACTATGAGATTCAAATTACTTCATACCTTTCTTCCTCCCTTATATGCGATCTTTCATATATATTACTACCATTGAAGTAACTAATTCTATGGATTTGGTATTCACCTTGTTGTGCTAACAAGGTATGGCAACTTGGCCCGATGCATATATGTACCTGGTCCTACTTTGTAGATGATTAACTGATTAAAACCCTTAGAAATCATAGTTGCGCAACTCGCTTTCAAAATTCTGAAAATTAAACATTATTAACCAACCTAGTTATTCTTATTTTTAACAATGTATTTTCGTTCTCGTCATATTTTTATACAGTTTTAAGGATTGTGACTATTCAATCATTGCGCAACTCTGCAATGTTCAGTTTTCACACCTGTCTATCCGGTTAAATGTAATCACCCGGAAATATCACCATCAATATTCAATGGTTCATCGTGTCAAATACTTGATTAATACCTAATATGATGTAGTGTAATAAAACGCAGATAATCAACTTGAATGTTTGGTATGACAACGACTTGTTATGAAATATAGGCAAAAATAAAGGGAACTTTGAATTTGTAAATATTTCCGCGATCGTACCACTGCTTACTTAAGATGAATCTATTTCAGACATAGTAACCCTTCAAATGCATTACTATATCAAAGGACCAAAGATGATCGTCAGGATACCTTTGCCTTAGGTAACATCTTAGCGACCATTCATCAATTCAGAACAGATACACAATCTTCAGAGAAGTGATGCTTCTCGTGCGTTTTTAATTTGGGCCACTTACAATCTCAATGGTACTTGTTACCGCTGAATTATCTGAGCAACTATTTTTCCAGTAATAGTTGTATGGATTGGAATGAAATAATCATGAATTCTTTGATATGTTTATATATTCAAAATTTAAACATTTGTCTCTTACAATGAAACTGAAAGTAATACTGTCCAAATATATGCGATACAAAATAGTCACAAAAATGATGCTATGATTAAACTTATTAGTATATATATATATATATATATATATATATATATATATATATATATATATATATATGACTTGTGAATTAGAACAACATATATAAGCGAACAATAATGTTTCTAATGAAATCATATTTAAACTATAATATACGTGAATATTTGTATGAAAATATTAAAATAGCTGAGACAATCTATGAGTTAATGATCACAGTGAAATAGATTGTATAACTGCACATAAAGTACAGATAGATAGGAAATTCTGAGCAGCTAACCTTGCGCAGATATTTTGTGGTAGAACAGTTATATTTATTCAAACAGAGGACTACTTACCTGAGATTGCCTCCTCAATGTTCGCCTACAAATTCAGCTGCTTCTAAGGAGACAGCCGTATTAGGCGTACTACCGGGCAACTTAACCAATGAATGAGTGAAAAGAGCTAAACAAAGTCTATACACAGCTCTATCTTGGTACACCAGGTTGACAGTGGTCATATGGTATATAAAAGAGAATCATTTTGAGTGATCTATTGCAGATATACACTTATTTTTTAAAATGATAATATTTACAATAATAAATCCATTTTGTATTTGTTGCTTAAATCTTCCGATTAATGTTTAGGACTGCAATGGGATGATTCAAACAAACAATACAAAATGAATTTACACCTCACCCCATTGCACAAGCTAGTGGCTATCAGGACTATGTACCTAAGTGGATAACGCGACGGCGTTTGAAGCGAATGGTACAGGTTTCCAGTCCTGAAGTGAACATCAACTCTGAAATGCAGGTACATCCAGCTGACGAGTCCCAAATAGGGCGAAACGTGCGTCCTGAATTCCGCTGCTAGTCACCATTAATAACTTTGACAGCAGAAAAGAATGGAGAAGAGAGACAAACAGTTAGTAGAGATTAAGACCACGGATGAGAAAAAGTTTGTACAAGTTTCTTTTGTGCAACTAATTCTGATTTTTCCAGATTTATAGTTTCATCACAATTCCAACATTTTCTCCTATCACACTGAGCCTTCCTCTACCAATTATAGTTTCTTTAGCTATCTTCATGATGAATATTCAAGCTCTCATCAACAAAATTATTATCAGCTGGGATGATGGTGGCTAGTAGTGGAATTCAGGACGCACGTTTCGCCCTATTTGGAACTCGTCAGCTGGATGTACCTGCATTTCAGAGTTGATGTTCACTTCAGGACTGGAAACCTGTACCATTCGCTTCAAACGCCGTCGCGTTATCCACTTAGGTACATAGTCCTGATAGCCACTAGCTTGTGCAATGGGGTGAGGTGTAAATTCATTTTGTATTGTTTGTTTAAATCATCTCATTGCAGTCCTAAACATTAATCGGAAGATTTAAGCAACAAATACAAAAGTGAATTAAAATTATTATTAGTTTATTTAGTTAAAATAATATTTTTATGCCCTTATTTATTCTACTTCACTGTTATCACGTTTAGCAGAATTTCGTTATCACAATTATTGTAAATATTATCATTTTGAAAAATAAGTTTGTGTATTTGCGATTGTACTTCTTTGAAAATGAATTTGCCGTGAAGAGAACTCTTCTCTGAAGCAATCTTCCTTATATTTAGTCTTTTATATACGGTTATTCTTTATTTTTTCATTTTTAGATTTTTCCTTCCTTAATACTATTAAGAAATTTATGCAATCATCCAGATTTAGCTACAGGTGGTCCAAAAGATAGTTGTTTTCTAAATGAAGAGTTTGAATCCGATAAACATGGTATTGAAAATGTATGCTTATCTTATTCATGGTCACGATTTGGTTGCCCACGTAGATCCAGTAAAATGTTAGTTGTTGCTTCACTTCTTAAAAACTGGTATGATCAAGGACATAAAGTTCTACTGTTTTCACAAAGTCGTCGTGTAAGTTGGTTTTTTTAAAGTAAACTTGACTACAGCATGCATTTAATATGATATTCATCTATATTAAACAATAATCATCCAGCTGACGAGTCTTAAATAGAACGAGACACGCGTCCTGCATTTTATTACTAGCCACTATCAATCTCTGCCTAAAATAATCAATAAATTTGAAATAAATAGCACGTCATTTGGGATCAAACTTATCTATATTTTTTACTGAAGTGTTACTTATCATCTAATGAATATGAGAATAGTCTGGTTTCTTGTATATTAGATTTTTCTGTTCAATTTACTTGAAAGTGAATGAATTCTTGGGGGATGTAGAATAACAATCGCCTTTGAATCACATTACATTTAGTTCATCTGTTAGTTTTAGCGTTTGACAACCAGTAAATTGTAAATATTTACTAAATATCAACAAAGTCTGTTGATAAAAACATACATAATCCGTTTAATTGATGATTATTGAATGCTATATGTTCATCTAAGTTTCTACGAAATCTCTATTCAGTCAACCAAACCAAGTGATTCTTAGTTTCTGACAAGGAATCTTAACTCTCCAAGTCAATCTTTCTTGATTTTTTTCAACCTGTATTGGTAGATATGATCTGGAGTTTTACTAAAAAAATGTAACAGTGAATTCATGAATGAAATCGACCGACATTTTTTTATCGATATTGTCGTCTTATTCAGTTTAATAAACAGTTCGTCTGTACCCTTTGTATTGCTGAGTCTCTTTTCGATAAACATAGTAAAAACTGTAAGTTAAATTTACTTAACCTTTTCTCCTATCATAAGTCTTGAAAATCATCTAAATTTCTTCATTCTAGTTAGCCATTGTTTGTAAATCCAATAATACTTGTCTACAAAAGTCCAAATGAATTGTAGGTATAATTTTCTTACATTTCGTATATCTCCCGGGAAAGCTGGGAATGTAGATTTAATTCACATTTACCCTATACAATACGTCTGTTTTATTGTTTCTCTGTTTCGTATATAGTTGATAATTTGTTTTTGTTTCTATTCATAAGTTTCATTTTTCAGTTTTTTTTTATCAGTCATCCAAAGTACATTTTCCCACCTATACCTTGTATTTTGATCAGATGCTTACATTACTTGAACGTTTAGTACAGTTGATGAAGTTTTCTTATCTTAGAATGGATGGAACTACTCCTGTTAGCCAACGTCATGAACTTATTCGACGTTTCAATTACCGTTCGACATCGGATAGTGAGAAAATAAATAGGACATCAGATCAGTTAGATATATTTCTATTTTTATTAACTACACGTGTCGGCGGTTTAGGTGTAAATTTAACTTCAGCTAATCGAGTACTTATCTATGATCCAGATTGGAATCCTACTACCGATCTACAAGCTCGTGAAAGAGCATGGCGTATCGGACAATCAAGAGATGTTGTTATTTATCGTTTATTGACAAGCGGTACTATTGAAGAAAAAATCTATCATAGGTAAGTCCTATCACACTGTTTTGATAAAGTATATAAAATAATATTTTAAGTTTGTTATCGTAAGTTTAACGTTGAATCATCGTTTTTAATTGTGCTTGCACTGGACAGCCCATTGATTATAACTTCAGTTCTCTCAATACTACTTCCAACCACTTAGTGCACAAGATGTTGTGTCGCATAGATTAGTGGTTACATTGCAACTCTAAAATAAAATACACATTAAGAAGGACCTGACATACGTAACACTGGTAACCACCCAGTGACCAATTAATTTTAAATACATAGCTCAGTGGTAAAATCTGTTACTGTGAAGCTGGGTGATATGGGATTAAATATTCCATTGAGGATCTTGCTGACAAGTACCCAACGGCGTGAAACCTGGGTTCAATGTTTCTTGTCGACTATGCTCAGCTACGACCTTATGGGTATTCCCAGTACTTATATAGCAGAGGTGTATGTTGTTTTTAGTTTAGTAGACAAAACTATTTATTTAAAGCTAAATAGTTATTAGTTTTAAACATTATCAGAAAAGCTTTAATATCCATATTATTATTTCGATAGCTTTGCAATTTTACGATTATTAAAAGTTGAAACCGATTACTTGTTATATTCAAAAACATTATGCTTTAAAGTATTCTCTGTTGTGTTCTTAATATCCAGTAAAATTTTCTGTTGACAGAGATGTCTAAAAGTATGTGATAAAGTTACATATTTACTTCAGGCTTGTACCATAATTCATTTTTTGTGTTGATTATTTGAATCTTCCCATTGATGTTTAGGACTGCAATTGGATCAGTCTCTTATTGGCATATATGCATGATGTGCGGATTGTCTCGATATTGCCTTCAGTCGCAAGCATTATAAGTAGAGAGGGATAGTTGTTAGCAGTGGAATCCAGGACGCGTGTTTCGTCATATTTGGGTTTCGTCAGCTGAATGTACCTGCATCCCAGAGTCGATGTTCACTCCAGGAGTGGAAACCTGTACCGTTCGCTTGAAACACCCTCGCGTTATCCACTTAGCTGCTTAGTCCAGATAGACACCAGCCGATACATCCAACTAACGAGTCGCGAAACAGATCAAACATGTGTCTTGGATTCCAAGTTGTTGCTTCAGGACTGGTCTGCGTCAACACCTGAACTAAGGATAGGGGGTGAAGTAGTCGAACGCGTTGACAACTCCACTTATCTTGGAAGTTTGATCAGCCCCAATGGGTTGGTGTGTGACGAAATCTCAACACGGATTCGTAAAGCTCGTTTGGCTTTTGCCAACTTACGTCATCTATGGCGAAGGCGAGATATTCGTCTATCAATTAAGGGACGAGTATACTGCGCGGCAGTGCGTTCCGTTCTACTATATGGCTGCGAAATATGGCGTTTAAGAGTAGAAGATACTCGTAAGTTACTAGCATTTGACCACAGGTGGCCTTAGAAATATTGCTCGCATCTGCTGGGATCACCGGATAAGTAACAGTGAAGCTAGACACAGGGTATTAGGGAATGATGGTAAATCAGTTGATGAGGTTATGAATCTTCATCGACTGAGATGGTTGGGCCACGTGCTGCGTATGCCTGAACACCGATTACCACGGCGTGCAATGCTAACCGGTGTTAGGGATAATTGGAAGAAAGTTAGGGGCGGCCAAACCAAAACGTGGCATCAGTGCTTGAAGTCACTCACTTCTGGTCTGAGCCATGTTGGTAGATTCAGACTGTCTGGTTGGGGTCCGCGTGACTATCGTAACCAATGGTTGGAGACTCTTTGTGACATGGCTCAGAATCGATCACAATGGCGTCGATGTATACACTCTCTGTTTTCCTTTAAACTAAGAGATTAAAATCGCTTCATATCTTTCTTTCTACGAACTAATTCCTCGTAATCTGATTTCATTTGGGTATTTTATCAATAGTATTTTGTGTTATGTTTTGACTTATTAATTAATTAATTCACAAATTATTTGTAATTTTGTTGTTTTTTTTCTATTAATTTTATTAATTCAAATAGACAAATATTCAAACAATTCCTTACTAATCGAATTCTCAAAAATCCACGTCAGCAGCGATTTTTTAAAACAAATGATCTTCAAGAATTGTTAACTTTTGAAGATGAATCAGATATACAAATCCCAGAAACAGCTTTGTACTTGAAATCGGAAGGTATGGGTCATACACTGACTAATTCGTTAACCGAGAATCGATTTGATATACTTGCTAAAAAACTGAAAAATAATCCATTGCAAAGCAAATCATCACACGTGAATACAGAGATTAGTACTGGTAGTGATGTTGAAGATGATGATGAGAAGGAAGAGGATGAAGGCGAAAGTGAATCAAACGTTTCTGTGGATGACAATTTTACAAACACTTTGTTAAATCCTGATACAAAAAATAAGCGTACAGAACAACTTCGTCAACTTGCTAAAGAAATAAGCCGTCGTATAGCCGAGGAATGTTCAAACAAAGATAATCCAGTCGAATCGGTGACTAAGCAGTCTAAAGAAATGACTTCAAACAAACATAGTTTAAATCGCAAACGTAAATCTGATACCAGAGGGACACGGGTGGATGGAAAAAGAATCAAGCTAGTAGCAAAACAGTGTAGGTATGATGTTGGTGAAGGCATGGATATCTCTTTATCTCGAAATCGACTTGCTGAACCAGTCAAAGCGACAAGCAGTAATGCTGAAGATGATAACTTTATTCAAAGTGTCTTAGCCAGTTCTTGTTTAAGTAGCAATTACTTATCCATTAATAAACAAGACTACTCTACGGTTTCTTCCTTTAAGGAAAAGCGATCAATGGTAGATCAAGATACGCGTGATGAAGCAAGTCGAGTTGCAAAAGAAGCTCTGAAAAATATTCAGAAATTTCACAAATCCAATGAAATGAAATGTAAAGAGTCGTTTCAAAAAAGTAAAGGTAGGTGTTCTGTTCTTATGTCTAAATCAAGGTTAGAAAACTGAAGAGTCGATATAAAATATACACTCTGAGATATTGATCAACAACACCTCACGTTTCCTTGAATTTCTCAACAGTAATCTGTAAAATGAAGTGCCTTAGTTTATAGGCCACATTTTGTCTAGACACAATGGTTATTACCAGGCTGGCTCCAGACCTGGTCGTGGCTGCATCGACCACATATTCACCATTCGTCAGGTTCTAGAACACAGGCATACTTATCGGCGTCCGACAATAAAGGTCTTCCTTGATTTAAAAGCAGCGTTTGACTCTGTTGACCGAGAGGTTCTGTGGCAGTGTCTGTCATTGAAAGGCGTACCTCAGAAGTACATAAACCTTGTGAAGGCTCTTTACTCGAACACTACTAGTCGAGTCAGAGCTTATGGCGAACTGTCATCTGCTTTCGCAACCTCAAGTGGCGTCCGCCAAGGCTGTCCACTTTCTCCATTTTCGTTTAACTTCATCATAGATCTACTGATGGAAATAACGCTCTCATCGACTGAATTCTCAGGTATTGATCTCCTACCACTAGGTCCACTTATTGACTTAGAATATGCAGATGACATAGTTCTGTTTGGTGAAGACGCTGATGAAATGCAGAGTCTTTTGGTAGCACTGAGCAACAATGCCAGGATGTTTGGAATGCACTTCTCTCCCTCTAAATGCAAGTTGTTGCTTCAGGACTGGTCTGCGTCAACACCTGAACTAAGGATAGGGGGTGAAGTAGTCGAACGCGTTGACAACTCCACTTATCTTGGAAGTTTGATCAGCCCTAATGGGTTGGTGTGTGACGAAATCTCAACACGGATTCGTAAAGCTCGTTTGGCTTTTGCCAACTTACGTCATCTATGGCGAAGGCGAGATATTCGTCTATCAATTAAGGGACGAGTATACTGCGCGGCAGTGCGTTCCGTTCTACTATATGGCTGCGAAATATGGCGTTTAAGAGTAGAAGATACTCGTAAGTTACTAGCATTTGACCACAGGTGGCCTTAGAAATATTGCTCGCATCTGCTGGGATCACCGGGTAAGTAACAGTGAAGCTAGACACAGGGTATTAGGGAATGATGGTAAATCAGTTGATGAGGTTATGAATCTTCATCGACTGAGATGGTTGGGCCACGTGCTGCGTATGCCTGAACACCGATTACCACGGCGTGCAATGCTAACCGGTGTTAGGGATAATTGGAAGAAAGTTAGGGGCGGCCAAACCAAAACGTGGCATCAGTGCTTGAAGTCACTCACTTCTGGTCTGAGCCATGTTGGTAGATTCAGACTGTCTGGTTGGGGTCCGCGTGACTATCGTAACCAATGGTTGGAGACTCTTTGTGACATGGCTCAGAATCGATCACAATGGTGTCGGTGTATACACTCTCTGTTTTCCTTTAAACTAAGAGATTAAATTCGCTTCATATCTTTCTTTTTAGAAACTAATTCTTTCTTCCTGTACTATCTCCTTATATGCAATCTTTCTTCTATATATTACCACCACTGAATTTACTACTTCTATAAATCGGGTGTTCATCTTGTTGTGCTAATGCGGTATGGCAACTTGGACCGATGCATATACGTGCCTGGTCCTACGTTGCAGCTGACTGACTGAATAGTTATTAAACTTCAGTCATGTCATGCTCGTTCTGGATTTATCTCTCTAGTCCCAGTATTAAGACAAGTAACAAGTCCTTGTTCATGATAATATTAGTACAAAAAAAGTTTCATCGGAACTAAAATTGAATGGTTATTCTACCGATATCTCTAAAATTATTGTAGTCCTTAAATATTAGCAGTTGATTCCATGTCAAATAAAGTAAGAATTTCATCGTTGAGACGCTTTTTGTTTACATGAGCACATAGTATCAAAATAATATAATGCAGTGTCTATGGTTTATTTATGCTTTCTGAATTTTCTTGTTTGTTATTCCACTTTATGTTGTGTAAATCTATCTATAACAAAAGCAGTATTCATATGACTCCATTACAATAACCTACTTGTTTCGTTAATTTTCTACTATTATGACTTAATTGTCTTTCTATAATGCAATAAAAAAACGGAATATATCGGAACTGTATGATGTATTAGCGCTCTGCGACCGTTTCTCCAGCATACCAGTTTTATTTGGGTTTTTTTATTCTTGTGAATATGAAGATCGCTAGCCGTATAATACCAATATTTGGCCTTTGGAATTCTATGAGATGGTTCTTTAACGCTTCAACCTTTATTTATTTTATTTAAACACATAAATATTGGTACAAGGGGGCACCAAATATATATGCGCCACACTTTTGTGTGTAGGCCGAGATACTGCCCGGGTGCCCAGATCGAAGCAGGTGGTTTTTTAGGGGGCCACACACCGAGCCTTCGACCTAAAGTTCTAACCCACAAGGCAGTGGAGCATCGTGAGGAGATGTAGTCCCATGGAAGCCGGTGACCAAGAAATTGGTTTATACGCCATTTGTTCTCTCAGGATACTGGAGCCCATGTGCACCATTGATTTGGGATCCGGTTATAGCGCCGGACATTCGCTTTTCGTCCTCTCATTTTAGTCAACAACAGCTACGCCACGAGAAGGCAGTGAGTAGGACTTCCCTGGCAGAGGCTGTGTACGCGTGGCCATGTGAGAGTATTTCGAGAGGGAGGGCGAACCCACCCCACTCTCGGCCATACCTACTGAAACGCTACCAAAAACAGTATAGTTAGCAGCACATTCTCTGTCCGTTACGAAGTTGAAAGCCACTTCGCTGGAGCTTACTAAACTGTTACTGCTAATTATCAGGAGGAAAGATGGGTATTTTAAGCGGGGTTGGAAAGGATCTAGTAGTGTAATCCAGGTCGCGCATTTCGTTTTATTTGAGACCCGTCAGCTGGTTGGACCTGGACCCCAGAATTAATGTTCACACGGGAATGATCAAAAAAGTTAAGACACTCTTATGACCTTTTTCAATTATGTGCTTAGCGATAGTGGGAGATGAGTGTTTTTGTCGTCTGCTCTTATTGAACCATCTGATGTTATTTTTGTCTGTGGCCATTTTGGTACATGTTTAGATACGCCTTAACTTGGAAATCATGACTCCTCACATATGTGTGGTTAGGAAAGAAGCAATCATCAATAAAAGAGCTCATAAACCAGTGTTAATTTTGATTTTTCATCGTACAATTTCTTCCAGTGTAGTGTAGGAGAATTGCAGAGACTATGTCACAGTCACCTTGATTGATATATTTACAAATTCATCAACTGATTTACCTTGTAGTAAATTAAGCTTATGTGAATTTGCACCAAACTGTGTATTGTCCTTGGCTGGTCGGTTTCCCTCGATACTTTTCTCACTTGTTTACTGTACTATAAAAACCTTTACTATCTGTCTCATGATATTCCTTTTATACCCACTAGATGATGTCGAAAAGGCAAGAAATAGAAAGTCTTCAAAAATTAAATATACAGATCATCAAGTTCTCCATTCACTTTCTTCCCATAAATCATCGAAATTCACAAAAAAAGTGTCCGTAAGCAGTTCACCGATATTTCGTCAAATAACTCAAATAGTACATCATGATAAATTATTGGATGAAATGACTAATCCGAATCACATTGATTCTTCATTTGACCGGTTGGCCGTGAATCGATTAGCAAATAAAGCTATTATTGCTTTAGAAGAAGAAGTCAAGCGTTGGCAGCAATGTAATATCAGATCTTTTTCTGAAACTACAGAAATATCTCAACGTAGATTAGTTTTTTATCCTTTTGGTCAAGCTAAAAATCGTTTCCTTTGGAATCGAAATGAATCAACTAGTTATGGTTATGTAAGTTCACAGTAATGAATGTTTGATACATTTAATTATGGTTGTTTCTTATATATATATATATATATATATATATATATATATATATATATATATATATATATATATATATATATATATGTAGTTATGGAATAAAAATATATTATGTAATTAATTGTACCTTTATTAAAATAGGTTGCGGAATTTTACTAAAAGAATAAATGTTTTTTGGTTGGGTAAACATTCAATTGAAATTTTTCAAATCATTTTAAGTTGACATGACTATTCATCGACTGTTTACAGATTTCTTAATCCATCGAAACATTTTTTTTACAAATTACTTAGTGTTTACCATGCTTCAATTGTACGCTGTTCAGTCTCAATGTATCGTTAATCTTCTAATTCTATCTCAACTGAACATCAAATTACACTATTTAAACGAAGACAATAATAGTGGAAAACTTATGTATATTTGGAAGATTTTTCCTAGTTTTATTTTGAATGATGCCTAATAAATGACGTGTATTAGGCTACCAGATCTAGATCGTACCGAAAATTTTAAGATAACATAGTAATGATTTAAAATTAGACTAAATTTTAATAACTATAGGGTGATTTTTTTTTAGAAAAAAATGCAATATACCCCAAAAGTAACTTTTTAAGATATGTTGTAGTAAATTCACAAAAATACGTTAGTATTGCTCAGTTGGAGTGTTTCAATTCCATATATACACAAATTAAGGGAGGTAGATTTAAGTTGAAAGTTTGCAGTAATCCATGGATCATTCAACTGTGAAATATGAAGTGGATATTTGACTATTTACATTTGTATAGATTTTGATATATACGATTTTTAAGAAAATTTATTTATTTTAATTTTTTCAGATTCAACTTTTACAAGCATCAAGTGATTTTGAATGTTCAACTAAAAAAGCTTATAATGAAAATTCAGCTAATTTGCATGTTAGATTTAGTTCAGAATTACTTTTAAGTCTTATACGTTCGCGTAAAATCATTCGTCATAATCATTTACACAGTTCATCTAGTACCGAATCAATTGATAGTGTGTTAAATCATTCAATGCAGCGTCTTTGTGCTGAACTTATTCGAACACTTGGTAGCTCGAATACTGTTACAAGCGAATATTTAGCAGTACATTTTAAATCTATTCTGAATGAGAACAATGATTGTTCTACAGTAAATATTCATAATAACACTAATGTTGTAAATAGAAGTATTACATCCCGACATTTTCGCTCATTGCTTAAACAACTTGCAATAAGACATCGGTCGAAATGTGATCAATCTCAACTGGATTTACCTTCACGTGGTCGCTTGGATGATGTATGGACTTTGCGTGATAAATTTCAGTCTGTTGCTAGTTATCTTTTAGTAAACTTGGCAGTAGCAGAAAGGCTGGATCAATGAAACAAAATTGTAATATATTGACATGATATGTTCATTGCTACCTCCTACATTTGTATAGTTTATTTTAATACAGAATCCAATATACACATACCAGACTTTTATTTTTAAAATATAGAATTAATAAGAATATGGTTTTCTTTCACTAAAGTGTGAATATCAATTACTAGTTATCTCAAAAAAATTAGATGAACTTTTATTTTTAAAACCAGAAAATTGGTACTAGAAATGCAATGTTTTTTTAGTGCCTTGAAAGTCTTTCCAGAAAATATCGATAAATCAAACCGCTATGTCCGAACAATGAATGAGTTGTAACTTCCGGGAGTTATTTATAACTTGTTTTCGTATATATATTCTTATCGTACAATTGCTAAGTAACTAAATCGTATAAATTTACATTCCTTTTGTCATAAGTTTTCATTTGATCCATGGATTAATGTTATATGATTTACTTTCCCTAATTTATTCCTAACCTATTAGTCTGCTATACTCAGCCGCTTTTGACTTGATCTTTTGTAATAATTATTTTTCATTTCACAGTGTGATAAGATCTCGTATGCTTGTACATAAACCGCATATGTCTGAAATATACGATTTATGTAGCGGAGGATTATATTTATGTTCTGGGCTGGGTGAGAAGCTGCTATACAGTCCGAGAGTGGACTCAAGGCCACTGGTGCTGTTTGACGCACCATTGGTTTAACACAGGGACTAGGTTATACATATTTTCACTTTTATAACCATTCAGAGGTTATATTTTAAATTTGTCGTAAATGCAGTATGTTTCAGGTCTAATCATTCTGGACTTCTCTCTCAAAGCTAAGAAGTAGTACTTGTATGAACTTGATAACTGCCTGATTTCGAATTCCAAATACAATACGTTCGTTTGTGCTCGTCTATTTCTTCATGGTCTAAATTGCGTTATTTCTGGGATTCCTAGTTAGTATAATAATTCAAATACTTCTAATTATCATATAAGGCTTGGTGTTTTATGGATGGAATGGATGAGTTTTGGTTGTGCCTGTTAATCGAACAAGAACCTAGATATTGTCAATGTAATTAGTTGCATGTAAGCTACTTCCAAAATAAAAAATATGACTGCACACTAAGCCGCACGAAACTTTGTAATGGTTGTCTAATGTCAAGAATGGTTTCTAATTATTTTTAGATTGATATATCGCCTTTAAAGAAAGTAACTTTACACCATGATGGTTTGTGTGATATATTAGTTTGAGTCTCCAACGAAACAGTGACCTCACCTCGGCAAAACGGAGAGCCGACGAGATACACCCTCCGTGTATCTGGCGACCCGATGGCTAGTTCTCGTGGACTGGCAGGTGTAAGCATAGCACTAAGCATGAGGGCGGAACAAGTGCTATTAGAGTGGATCCCCGTTAATAGTCGTCTATGCGCTGTTCGGCTAAACGGCTCCGTAAGAACTCGAAAGGATAGGGACACACGTCGTTGCCTTTTCGTCGTTTCTGCCTACGCTCCCATTGACTGCAGTTCGGATGAAGTGAAAGATGAATTTTACGGAAAGCTGTCTGAACTTCTTCAGAAAGCTAAACGTTCAGACATAGTACTCGTAGCAGGCGACTTTAATGCCCAGGTAGGTAGCTTAAACGAAACAGAAAGACATTTAGGTGGGTATTTTAGTATTCCGGCACAGCGAACAGATAACGGTGATCGTCTGCTGCAACTGTGCTCAGACAATCGTTTATTTTTAGCAAACACAAATTTTAAGCATAAGGAGAGACATCGTCTAACATGGCGACCCCCTGCACCAAACCAACGATGAACTCAAATAGACCATATTGCCATCAGTCATCGTTGGAGAGGGTCAATAGAAGATTGTCGCTCATTCTGGGGTACCTGCTTGGACTCTGATCATGCCGTAGTACGAGCACGCATCTGTTTGCGCCTCACTGGACGCAAAAGAGCCACACAAAAAAGACTCATTAGAACCGAATTGAGTAGTGAGAAAGCCAAAAGTAGGTTCCGGGAAAAACTGAGGTCACACTTAGGTGGTTCTGTAAACGAGACTGACCCAGATGTTGCTTGGAAAGTTATACAAGCAGCTGTGGAAACAGCAGTGACATCTGTTAGTGATTTAAACCACAGGGTTACAAAGAACCAATGGATTTCTTCAAGGTCTGTTGCACTGATAGATTCTCGTAAACTCATCCCATCAGGTTCTGAACACGATGAAGAGCGTAAACAAATCAGATCTAGGTTAAGCAAAAGTCTAAGGAATGATCGTGAGCAGTGGTGGGCAACGAAAGCAAAGGAGATGGAAAAGGTGGCGGCTATAGGTAACATCAGATAGCTCTTCAGACTCATAAAAGAAACTGCAATTAAAAAGTCAGGTGTAAGTGAGACTATTTCGGAAAGAGACGACACTCTCATCTGCTCCCAGTCCAGACGTTTAGAACGATGGGCGAAACACTTTAAGGAGCAGTTTAGCTGGCCTTCAGCATTTCTACGACTACCCACCATTCCCAGACAATGTGAATGGAACATTGAAGTAGGTCCTACAACTCTAGCTGAAGTTCAAAAGGCTATAGCTAATCTGAAACGAGGAAGGGCAGCTGGTCCAGATGGATTGGCTCCAGATGTCTTTAAGGATGGTGATCTAGTTTTAGCGATTAGGTTGACTAATATTTTAGCTAAAATCTGGGAGTTAGACGTTATCCCATCTAACTGGACACAATCACTTATCGTCCCAATATTTAAGAAAGGGTCAAAATCATCCTGTGACAACCACAGAGGGATTAGTTTAACTAATATAATATCTAAAATACTAGCTTCGATAATTTTCGGACGCCTAACTAAGACTCGTGAACTGCAAACACGTGGAAATCAGGCTGGCTTCAGACCTGGTCGTGGCTGCATCGACCACATATTCACCATTCGTCAGGTTCTAGAACACAGGCATACTTATCGGCGTCCGACAATAAAGGTCTTCCTTGATTTAAAAGCAGCGTTTGACTCTGTTGACCGAGAGGTTCTGTGGCAGTGTCTGTCATTGAAAGGCGTACCTCAGAAGTACATAAACCTTGTGAAGGCTCTTTACTCGAACACTACTAGTCGAGTCAGAGCTTATGGCGAACTGTCATCTGCTTTCGCAACCTCAAGTGGCGTCCGCCAAGGCTGTCCACTTTCTCCATTTTCGTTTAACTTCATCATAGATCTACTGATGGAAATAACGCTCTCATCGACTGAATTCTCAGGTATTGATCTCCTACCACTAGGTCCACTTATTGACTTAGAATACGGAGATGACATAGTTCTGTTTGGTGAAGACGCTGATGAAATGCAGAGTCTTTTGGTAGCACTGAGCAACAATGCCAGGATGTTTGGAATGCACTTCTCTCCCTCTAAATGCAAGTTGTTGCTTCAGGACTGGTCTGCGTCAACACCTGAACTAAGGATAGGGGGTGAAGTAGTCGAACGCGTTGACAACTCCACTTATCTTGGAAGTTTGATCAGCCCTAATGGGTTGGTGTCTGACGAAATCTCAACACGGATTCGTAAAGCTCGTTTGGCTTTTGCCAACTTACGTCATCTATGGCGAAGGCGAGATATTCGTCTATCAATTAAGGGACGAGTATACTGCGCGGCAGTGCGTTCCGTTCTACTATATGGCTGCGAAATATGGCGTTTAAGAGTAGAAGATACTCGTAAGTTACTAGCATTTGACCACAGGTGGCCTTAGAAATATTGCTCGCATCTGCTGGGATCACCGGGTAAGTAACAGTGAAGCTAGACACAGGGTATTAGGGAATGATGGTAAATCAGTTGATGAGGTTATGAATCTTCATCGACTGAGATGGTTGGGCCACGTGCTGCGTATGCCTGAACACCGATTACCACGGCGTGCAATGCTAACCGGTGTTAGGGATAATTGGAAGAAAGTTAGGGGCGGCCAAACCAAAACGTGGCATCAGTGCTTGAAGTCACTCACTTCTGGTCTGAGCCATGTTGGTAGATTCAGACTGTCTGGTTGGGGTCCGCGTGACTATCGTAACCAATGGTTGGAGACTCTTGGTGACATGGCTCAGAATCGATCACAATGGCGTCGATGTATACACTCTCTGTTTTCCTTTAAACTAAGAGATTAAATTCGCTTCATATCTTTCTTTTTAGAAACTAATTCTTTCTTCCTGTACTATCTCCTTATATGCAATCTTTCTTCTATATATTACCACCACTGAATTAACTACTTCTATAAATCGGGTGTTCACCTTGTTGTGCTAATGCGGTATGGCAACTTGGACCGATGCATATACGTGCCTGGTCCTACGTTGCAGCTGACTGACTGACTGACACATGCCTTGTTAATAAATATCAACATGCATGAGGACTAATATCACGTCCTTATTTCCATTTCAGCAAGTTGTGTTAGATCGAATGTTTTACAGTATCTCAGTCTGGTCAATTATTGGGAATAAACTAAATATCTGGTCATTACTTCAGATCACTGGCTACACAGAGGTAGATTTGTGCACTAGCGTGTCGAAGGAATTCAGGGGGAATGTTTAAAAATCAACTAGATATTATACAACAGTTTATTGAACATTTGACCAAACACCTGAATTTAACTGTAATTTTCTCGAAGCACTTAATATTCAAAGTTTCGGTCTTATTGTCTGTAATACTTTCTTTCAAATTGTGTGTCAAAGTTGAAATCGCTGTACACAATCCAAGTGAAATTACGCTGATATTTGAATAATATTCAGACGGGCTGTAAAGTTTTCATGTACGCTTCAGCTTGTTCTAACCATCTCGAATAATCTTCAAGTTGTTGATTTATCATGCTTTGCGGGAGGTTTCTTGGTGAATAAAGAGACTTCCCATGGTATAGTTTTGTTCTTACTGTATTCCAGTCACTAGATATTCTGTTCCAATTAGTGACAGTATATCCTGATTTGGATATGTCGACTATTGATGAATGTTTCACTAGGTTTTGTGATATAGAATTACTGATAGGAACAAAGTTTTCAATGTGATTTGTTTTAGATATTAACGAGTTTGTACTTATGGCATTTGTTTTTGTCTCCATACAGGTGTGTTTTTTACTCAATAGATAATCATCGCTAGAATGTGGTCGTTTATTTTTTGTATTAACCGACAAATTAGAATTATATGAAGGATATTCATTACATGTAGCTTTATTATATAGACTAGTATTCACGTAATCCTGTTGATTAATTTCACGCGGTTCTAAAAATATGCGTAGATTATTATTTCCCATTAACACTCTATCCCTGCAAAAAGTGATCTTATATCTGCTATCAATATCATATAGACGTTTTTCGATTTCACTACACCAATTAACTAGTTCATTTAGCATTGAACATAATTTGTAACTTGCTCCTAGTACTTCCTCATGATTTTGCTCCATTTTCTTTGATAATTTTGTCATACAGTCTGATCCTGTTTTGGTTTGAATATGCATATGAACTGAACTATCCTTGTCACAGTTATCAATATTTTTATTATTCATTGATTTTTCCGGTCGTCCGTATACCGGGTAACCTGTTAACGTATTCTGTTTGATTTTTGTTTTATAGCAGTTGACTGATTTTACTTCATCTTGCACTGTTTCAGAAAATCCATACGATTTAGTCACATTTGGTGTTTTTGATATCATACTATTAGTAAAGTCTTCAGAATTACTTAATAATGAAAAGTTCAGGAGGTTTTCATCAACTTGACTAACCAGCGCCAATTCTGTCCGATTTTTACTGTTCTCAGTATTCGCTTTGAACGGTATTGCTTGTAGTTCACATGCTGATTCATACTGAACACCTGTGCTTTTCCTTAATTGACCGTCGTTATTTTCAGAATGCTTGGGTTTGTAAACTAAAGGCTCATTTTCCGTGCCACTTAAGTTTTGGAAGACTGGGTGTTTATTAGAAAGCTTTAAATTGTGAATATGACTAGTATTGCTCCTCGAAGTACCATTATTCTGTGTCTGATTGCTGGTTGGCTTATTATATGTTTCTATGTGGAGTAGCTTAATTCCATGACAAGGATCACATGACTTTTTATGGAGTGATCTTTTAAAGTACTTTTGCTTTCTATCAGTGACGTTCGTGCAGCTTTTATCTTTTCTATATTCTAATACCATATTCTTATAATAAACATCACAAGGATGGTCCCACGTAGATTGACCTGTGAAAAAATTGAAGTAGTATATATCCCCATCGGTATTCATACAAGGTTTCCAACCAACCGGAAGCGGGGCTTTGATCCCTTCATATACTAAAGGATATAATTCTGGTTCTAGTTTCAGATTAATTCCCAACCATTTAGCATAGCTTACGATTTCTGATCTAGTGAATCTGCAGCGTTGATATTTTTCTTCCAATATAACTTGTCCATTAGTACAAACTGTCATGAAATTGGATATCTTGTTTGTTTGTAACTAAATTTAATTTCTAGAAGGAAATATAAAAATTTATCAAAAATGAGGTACGCATATTGTACGTTTTAAATAAACATATAAAATCAAGTGCAATCTAAAATTATTGTGCTGATACATTTCATTTGTCTAGTGTTATTTTTCTGTGCGTGATGTTTTGTAATTTTAGTTTTCGGATATGCATATTTAAGTACGTTCATATGAGTTAGCTAATTGGCTTCTGAATAGTACCAAGCTAAATGTATTAGTGAAAAAATTAACTTTAAGATTATATTACTTCAGTGATATGTAAAACAGCTTTCTCTGCACTTATTTTGTAAGGGTCGAGAAGCAGTACTTTAAGGAGTAGTGGTTCAGTTTTAGCATTTATATTGACTCAAATACCGACTAGAGTTTGGGATCTGATCATATCCTAATCTAATTGGTCTCGGTTGCTAATTAGCACATTTTATTAGAAAGGACTAATATACTCTTTTGATAATCGCAGAGGGGTTGGTTTGGCTAAAATGGTGTCTAAGATATTCGACTCCATAATTACTCGACGCTCAGTTTAGTTAGAGATCGTAAATGTCGATTACAGAAAAACAAAGTTGGTTTCAGTTTTGGAACTCGGAGTATTAGTCAAATACATATCTTCCGCCATAATCTGGAATGTAGGTGTATTCACCGTCTCTAGACGGCAGTTGTTTTTTGACTTGATGGAAACTTTTGCTTCCTATGGAACGATGGTTTGTGATAGTGCTTAGCATTAAAAGATGTACCAAAAAATTACAACGTGGAACCAGCTAATTATTAAATGATTTCAGTTCTATTAACAGATTTATAACGTAATCGAATTCCAAGAACTCACGAGTCTCTGGAAACATAACGAAAATCTAGTTTCATTGCTTTTACATATTTTTAATTAGGTACTGAGTGATTGATTGACGATACAAAGTAGTGTTAAGTGAGTAGTCAAAACAATACTTATACGAAACAATTATCAACCTCTCTTTAAACGTTGGTTAATAAGTGAAAATCGACTCAGGTAGAACGTTAATTCAAATCGTTGTAGAAATCTGAACTGGTTTTATTGCCAAGATTAACCATAGGGAGTGAAGTAGCTGGTTACTTCGACCACTTTACTTAGATGCACGGATTTATAATAGTCAGTTAACGCATACCGGATTGCACCACTTTTGGTGTTGGCGAGATAGTCATTTGCCAAGGAATGAGCTTATACATCCCAAAATAGTTCACTTCGTATTCATCCATCGAAGTAAGACATGGTCTTTGAAAGTAGAAAAATGCATATGGCTTACTTTTCTGACTTCGAAGCCTTAGTCATATTTTGTGTAACGGTTGAGTGAGCGATGCTGTAGTTGGGCATGGATCACCAGATATATATAGCAAGTTAGTGGATATTTAACAATCAAGGTGCTTCGGAAGTGTGTTACCCATGTTTAACCGCTGACTCTCTTGACGTTCAATGTAGGCCGGAGTAATGAGTTGCAAAAAAGCTGTGGGCTTCTTGATGAGCAAGTGATAACGCTCTACGAAACCACCGACAATGTCGGTAAATTCAGACTAACGCGATCAGTCGTTGGAGACACTAAGTAATAGGGCTCGAAATCAGTGACAATATGGGTAGGCGTGTTTTTATTTTTCTGCTGTTCATGAGTCACAATATTTATACCATCTCATTCTCTGTCCTTGAACCATATCCTTAATGCTTAGTTTTTCTTACCATAATTGCTACCATACTATTTCGTCTCTTTTTTTTTCATTTTGGTAATTTCATCTAGTTGAGCAAATTTGAAACTGCAGATCTGGTACAGACATATTTCTGCCGAAGCTTACGCTGATAATGCTTCTTCTGGGTTTCTCAAGGCACATGACTTGAGTACTCTAGGTTTTACTAACAATGTATATCGGAAGTACTACAATAGAGAAAATGGAATTATTTATATGTTACCCGAACACACTTGGGTTTGAGATCTGAAATTTATTTATTGGTTTTAAACTAGTTTTCAAAACGATTAATCATAAATTTACTGTTGTATAAGCCAAATCCATAATTCTTTAAGCTAAAGTAACAACTATTCCTAATATTAGGAATTAAATTCTGTGCATTCATAATGATTCCTACTGCGCAAAAAATTCCATGACCAAATATAATTCTACTTGCACCCATTTGTTAACTGTAAAAACCAACTGACAGTTCTTTCTAGATTTAGAACAGTTTGAAATTCGAGTTTCAGGTAAGCGACTGCCGTCGTTGTTAAATTACACATGATTGTACATCCAAACGTAATTCTCGAACAACGTAATGTGAGGGAATATGCCTACCGAAATTTAAAAACTGAGATGTCCAAGTATATACACACATTTGCTGAAACGATATACTCAGAAAATATAGAAGGTTTATCCTTCGGTAAGTCTCCATCTATTATCGAGAAAATTTGTGAGCCAAGAGAGTGTTAGGAAAGCATGCAAAATTATCTATAAGAGAAAATAGAAGTGATTCTTTCCTCTTCCAGATAATCCTTTTCCCTTAAAACCGAAAATGTACCAACGGATAATAAAGTACAAAGAACACACTAACAGCTGATAAAAAAGAAACAGAAAATAATCAGGAACAATAGGAGAGTACGGTTGAGACAATCTGAAAATCGAAACAACTTTTTCGTGTAGAGTTTCGAACTTGATACAAGTATTGTATTCGTATGTTGCGGAGTTTTTTCACCATTGGATGTTGTACAATCTTCAATATTTTTCTGTAAAGCTGTTATGAAACAAATGATTTCATTACTGCTGCGTACTTATATATGGTTTGGTTACATTTGATTTGAGTTGTCTAGTCATTCAACTGAGTTATGCTATAGATTTTGAACATTTATGAAAATGTAGCAGTAATTAAACCTTCAAAATAAAGAGTTTATAAATTTCTACTTTGATGCTGATCACATAATTTTGACTGAAGGCACCCAAGCTAAAGGCGCTCAGTCACACATTCTCAGAAGATCAAGAGTATGTATGCTGCGCAAAGAATATCATGCAACTAATAGCCAGCTAAGACCAAACAGTTCTCGACACAGCAAAACTTTCCTAATAAACATTGGAATTTCTTCATATCCGACTTCTTAGTAGACTTTTTTGGTATCACTCAATGATGAAGGTGTTACATGTAAAAGCGTTGTGATACTACGAATACTTGTGTCAGCGTTATAAGAATTAAGATACATAGATGATTAGTGAGTACGTTTGCCTTAATGCAGTAGCGTTACAAAAACTATCGTTATTCATGTTGTCAGACATTTGTGTGTTTTGTTGCAATATGAAAATTAGATCTAAATGGGGATTATTTAAAATTCAAACAATAAAAAAGTTACTAGTCTATATAACTGTGAAAGAATAGAAACATGTTTCGTTGAACGGTCAATAGATAACCGGAGTTAACGAGTAAGGAACAACCTAATTCAAGAGATCAATAATGTATGATAAATGGGCGTTGCTGTTCATCAAAATAAATAATTTTCGCTTTTGGTGGGACGTTTTTCGGACGAATTTAACTGGTATAGAATTATAAGATTAGAAGGAGTAATAAATTGTAACTTATATTGTTTGATTTACCATCTAGTTTGGAGTTGTGTTGTGGTTGTTACATCTAGTGACTACTGGGATTCCTTCTTTAATATTCGATGGCTAAACCGTCTTTCTTATGTGGTGACCTACTTTTGTCAAAAGAACGCGATCGGTTCAATGAAAACAATTATTATTATAATCAATTGTACCAATGATTGTTTTACTGTGCTCGTTTGTTTAACTGTGCTAATGACAGCCATATTACTCTCCCGTTAACTTGTACGAATTCGGTTACGCTTAGTTACCACGTTTGTACTCCTTTGGCACGATCTCGGCATTCTTTCGATCTCGCGAGATCGCCATCAAATACATCTCGACTACAGCCATGATCTGCCTTCTGATATTGACCTGGAGAGATCTTATTGGTTAACTAGCCTATAGTCTTCTTGTAATGCTGTTCATAGTCAAACGCGACTCGACTCCACGCTGCACTTATCAAGCAAACTTACAGAAGAGTCTACTTTTGCAAGAAGGATGTATATTTCAGACTTTTTTAGTGCAGCAAAGTACCTGAATATCTGTAGAAATTGACATTTGGGGAAATTTAATGTTTAAATATATTTTAGATAGACTACAGACAGTTCTTTTTCTTTCAACTTTAAAATCTAGCCTGCAGTTTCCAGAGCGCTTGCTCATTTATTTGATCTCAAACGTCTGGTACACGATTGTGGAATTTACACTAACTGGGAATCCTTTTATACCTGCTGGCGCGTTTATTACGAATATCATATGTAATACGTCCAGTAATGCTCATATTGTTCCATCTGCTTTAAATAAGACTATGTCGGATATTCTTAGTTAGCAAATTAACGCGATTACATCTAATTATCATGAATGTACGCTAAATAACTAAGCGAGAAATATTACTGGAAAATTTAAGCGTAGAATTTGTGGCACGACGCTTCACTAAAGCAAGAATTCAATTACCTTGAAATATTGTCTTTGTTTTGGGTTTCACTGAAAAGAAACAGAGGTCCGTCTGTTATTTAACGCTGAGCCCCATAGTAGACTTAGCAGTTAATATCACTGGAGTTTTCCCATTCTGTGGTTTTCACTAATAATAGTTCGAGCATGACATGCATGTCACTAATCTTTGTTTAAAAACAGGAATACCAGTTATTCTAATCTCATGCTGAAATTTAACATATTATTGATGATCTTTGTGGTAATGATAATTGTTGAAACCCTGAAGATTAGAAGTATTGCGTGCAAAAGTTTAACCACAACCATGAATAAAGTCTATTGAAGGGTCGTTTTTTTATCAGATTTCAAAGCCTTAAGATAACATAAGACGTCTTTCTCCGTAACAAACAATAATTTTTATTTCGGTGTCTCACAGATTGAGCAATATTATGTGTTAAAATTTGTCTAAATAGCAAGAACTTTGTCAGCA